AATTAAAAAATGCATACATGATTTCAATTTGCAACATATTTTAAAAGACATGTATTCTTTTTTCCAAAAAGAACCAGGAGCAACACCACCGTTTCCTTTAAAGACAACGATCTAAAGAAGCCGGCGCTCAGAAACAACTGCAAACACCTCCAAGCTTCACAGCAGAAGGTAAGTTGATGTGCAGACACGTGAAATCCATTCTCGTCTCTTCAAAAAGTATGGTACAAACAATCTGTTCTGGAGATCTGATTAGAGAAATACGTCTGACAAGGCTGCCTGTTGTGAGTATAAATTTGGGGGGAGAGAGAGGGAAACAGAAAAAAACATCAATTAAATATTTAATGATCATCTATGTCCTAGATTATTCTTGGCTACAACATTAAACTTTCTGACTCCTCTTGCTTTCTCGACAAACGGTGCCATGAAAAAAATAGTGAAATATTGCAAATTGCTGGCTTTCCGCTTTATATTCTGCAATAAACTTGAACTAATAAGAAAGAACATGTTCACCAATGGAATTTATTGGGATTTAGCTCCTAATTAACCAGGTTTGGTTTTATGTGTCCCTTTGTTTCTAAGTCTTTCAGATTAGACCAAATAACCCTCTGCTGTCTCTGGCTTGGTTTTCAGTGAAAATATGTGTGGCCTCTGCTTGTAAGTGGATAAGCATGTTTCCCAATGTGTTTACCTTTGGTTTACCAAAACACTCAGAGCTCTTGTGGCTGCTGATGGACAGTAAGCACACACAAGCAACTATAGTGTGAAGCGCACTATTAAGCACCAGACTTGGGCCGGATGTCGGTATTGAGGGACACCAAAGTTTTAAAAAGTTACATTTTGAAAACTGTGAAAAAATGTTTTTTTCTTTTTTTTAATTTCATCATTCAGGCTTTTTAAAGAGCAAAAAGAAAGAGCCGGATGGACCAGACTTTTCTCTCTGGATTTAAACAGAAGCTTTTTCTCAGACGACTCTAAAGCATTAAGATAATTCGATTAAAAAAAAAACACTTTATTGTTTCTCTTGCTTCATATTTAGAAAGTCCTTGTCCAACTTGTCTGCGAACCTCAGCATCAGTCTCACACACTTTGCAGCCCCCCAAACAGCTTTTCCTCCAGGACTGTCCTGTACTTTGCTCCATTGATTGATGTTAGATCATTCTGTATAAACGAAATTACACATTTTTGCGTAAATACCGTGAAGCTGTACTTATTTCTTCGAGCTGCAAACAGCATTAGTTTACCCCTAAACTATGAAACTGCTTTGAACAACGTCAACGGTGAAAACCTTCTCCTCTTTTCTCGTGTAAATAAACGGACGGAGCAGATCTTATTATCTTGCTTTTATGTGTTCCTTCAGATCTTGTATCAATGAAGAAGACAACACAAGATCATTTTTGGAGCATGAATGGAGCAGAAAAAGTGGCCTGTGGTCCATCCATTCTGGTTAATTGAGCCAGTTAACGTAAAAAAAAAAAAAAAGACTTAAAAGCCTAAGTCCCTCTTGACACTGATGGCTGTCCTACAAGGGACTCTCAGTTGGGCCCTCAGGTCTTTTGATAGGGCACTTGCCATAGTCCTTAGGGGCCATCTCACCCCCCACAATAAACAAGCAGCCCTTTGTCACCAAGAGAGGGGGGGTGTCTTAAGGGTTCCTCCTCGTTATTATTTTCTAAAGTAATTATACCTTATTATCTGTGTTTACTTTAGCGGGGGTGCGAGCATGCAGGTGTGGGCCATTCTGCAATGGGTTGGCAGTCTCTCTGGTAAATGCACTCCTGAGTTAAAAAAAAAAAAAAACCTCACCCCTCCATCTTTACTTGGTGGTTTTTTTGGGGGGGTTAGTAGTAGTATTGTAGCCCCACTGTTAATTTCAGCCCAACAAAAGAAACGTGCAATTATGGCTATTATAGCAGCAGCTGCACGCTTCCTGGCTGTGCAACGACAGCTTCATCCTCACCCCGTCGCACCGCTGAAGGGATCGAAGAGAAATGGGGAGAAGTGGAGAGAGAGAAAAAGAGGGAGAGAGGCAGAGAGAGAGGGGCAGGACTGAACCGAGGGAGCCGGAGCGGTCACAGTAGCCTCTGCAGAAAAGAAAAGGAAAATATAGCCTGAGAGGCTGGTGTGTTTCCACAGTGCAGACGCGGCAGGGACTCTCGCCCACAGGCTTGTGGGCCTCGAGAACAATGGAGCTGCCATCTCCCAACATGAAGTGTTATGAAATAGTTCTCGCCACAGTTCGATTGGCTGCTCTCTCGCATGTGGTCTCAGAACTGCGTGGGCAGAGAGAGAAAGGAAAAAAAAAAAAAAAAACGATTTGCAAATAAGAGAATGGTTATCAGAGTCTGGAAGAAAAGAATCAGTTTGCAGCCTTTAGGAGTTCAGTGATGCAAAGTTTAACTTCTTTTTTGTGTGTTTGTTTGTTTGTTTGTTTGTTGTGGAAATGGTTGAACTTATGCCTATTATTTGGGTGAGGCAAATTTAACGAGAGTCACCGTGACATCAGATGCAAAAAATAATAATAATAATTAAGAGGACGACTGAAAGGGACGGAAGAATTACAGGCTTTGTGATCTTCGTGTGGCTGAATATCGACGGGGCCCATTGAGGCCCGCGACTGCGTCAAGCACTGGGGAGCAATCCTAACGCTCTCAGCACAAACAAAATGGTCACAGGTCCTCCTCTGTTCCTCTCACTTACCGATTTCTCTCACTCGAGTGGCTTCCCAGCCCATCGCAGGAGCATCTGAGCCCAGGGCTCTTAGTTTCAAACAGACCCAAGTGACCCTGCACGTCCGAGCCAAAACACCAAACCTTGCTTTATTTTCTGCAGCGTGCCTCGGCACAATGGTTGTTTTTTTTTTTGTTCATTAATAACTATATTAGGGGCAGCTGGAGCATGCAGCATAGACTCTGTCTTCAAAAAGATCTGTTTGGTTGTGATATGTACAGATAATTGAGATAATGACTCAAGGTAAACAGGGATTTGATGTTTTCCCGGAAGAATAGAAGTGACTGTCAGATGCTTGTCGATGTGCTTAGACTTTCTTCAGTCTTTGAACGTAGAGCATGAGCTCCCATTTCTCTAAGTGAGTTACTTAGAATCTGGTGTAATCTGAAATGAGGATGATTTTTTTTTAATCATCTCTTTTGGTTATAATCTGAATTAGTAACTTTTTTTTATTGATCTGATTATCTAATGGAGCGTGTGCTGTTTGGGGTTATTTCTGTAGCATGAATTATAAAAATAACACTTAAATTTTAAAATATCTAGTAAAGGTTTATCTTTTTTTTGTTGATGGTGAAAGATCAAATATGACTGTTTCTTTTTTATTATTGTTATTATTATTATCATCATTATTTCTAATATCTCTCACCTCATATCAAGTAAATCCTTTATGTCTTTTTTTTTACTAGGAAAAAGGGCAATTTAAACGACTTAAGCACAAATGATAACAAATGTAATATTCTTAGAGTCCACTAATCAGCTGCTAATCTGTTCAAAGTCAATCTGCCTCTCGCTCAGTTCTAGTCTCAAGATGTTCTACCCTGCTGCAATGTTGGCAAAAGTTTAACATTTTGTCTGTACAAATTCCTCTTTCTCAAAAGTGCAGATCTGTTTATAACAACGACTGACTATTTCTGTTTTTCAGTTTGCGAAACAATCTCAATGAAAAAATAATTTGTGCTTTCGGGCCGAAAAGGATTCAACTTTGCAAGCTTCCAGATTAATTTAGAATTTTAAATAACAGTTTTTTCAATGTTGTGTAAAAATATGCAGGCAATTTTAATTGTAGCAGATTCTTATTTTTTAAAGTTGAGACTCTGTTACTAGGTTTCAGTTCTGGTTAAGCAGAAATTAATTTTAAAACAGCAGCGTTCTGTTTTTACTTTGGCTTTTTGGGGAGTGGGGTTGAAGGTTAAGAAGTTAAGGGGTGATATACTTTCTGTCACATGACAACACCGTGTTCCAAATTATTATGCAAGTGATATTTTCTCTGATTTTCTTAAATGGTCAATAGAAATGATGGTCAGTATAATTATCAAGTCATGAACTATTACAGTATAAATAATTTTTTTTCTGAACAAAGTTTGCCATGAGAACAGTATTTTTTTAAAAAAATAAAAAACTCAAAATGCACTGTTCCAAATTATTATGCACACCAGATTTTCTTAACATTTTATGGATTATAAAGAACTGCTTTCTTTGAATGTGCAGCATTAAGTGGTCACATGTACTAAAATCAAAAGCTATTTCAATCAAAAACATCTTAACAGACTGAGTTACATCTTCTTTGACAAAACCTGCACAAATCTTGTATCCATTGAACTTGTGAGTTTGTGAATAGTTTTTGCTTGAATTTCTTTGCAGGATGTCAGAAAATCTTCCCAGAGCTGCAGTTTTGATATGAACTTCATTTCACCCTCAGATCTTCTCCTTTAGAAAACTCCAAAAGTCTCAATAGGGTTGAGGTCAGAGGAGGATGATGACCACACCATGAGTTTCTCCCTTTTTATGCCCATAACAGCCAATGACACGGTGGTATTCCTGCCAGCATGAGATGGTTCATCATCATGCATGAAGATGATTTTGCTACTAACGGTTCGGTTCTTCTTTTTGAACTATGAAAGAAAGTGATCAGTCAGAAAGTTCATATACTTTGCTGAGGTCATTTTCACAGCTCCAGGGCCGACCAGCTCTCTCTCTCTCCCCATGATTTTGTCCTAAAGCATGACTCCACCATAAGGCACTACACTATCTGATGATTTTTGTCAGCAGTGAGATCCTTTCTCTTCCCATATTGCTTGAAACCTGTGGCCTGCTTAATAATGTGGAACATCCTTTTGAAATAGATTTCCTTTAATTGAACTCACCAGACATACTAATCAACTGAGAGCGTTAGGATTGCTCCACAGTGCTTGACGCTCTCTGAAATTAATTATAGTGATTCCAAGAGCCCTGATGCACAAAACCATCAATAAATTTAATAGCACAACAAAAAATAAAATCTTTATGACACTTTAATCCAATTTGCTCAATAATTTGGAACACAGTGTATTACCAAAGCTCTAGGTAAAAGAAATATTAACATCATCATCTGAATAAATTGATATGAATAAATTACAAAATTTTTCTTATTTAATACAACCTTCATACAGAATTTGCTACTGATTTATTTCTACAGAATTATTAATTTTTTTTCTATGGTCTTGACTACCTTACATAAATTGATAAAATGTTTTACAATATATTTATGCTTAACATTTTTATTTTGCATGTTTACCATGTAAAACAAGTCTTTGAAAAAAAACCAAGAGTTGTACAGAGATTACTGCAGAACAAAAAATTGCTGTAAAAACCGTGGCTGTGTATTGTTTTCAAGAGGAAGCGACCATTGGACCCCTTGGTCCCACTGGCATCCATTTCACCTCATTGGGACTTTTGGACCAAAAGTGTTGAAAACACAGAGAAATCATTTCACTGGAGGAGTGTGGCGGGATTAAATTGGCCTCTGGTTCAGTACGAGAGTCCCTGCTGTGTTGAGCGGAAGAGAAGGGCCTGGATGGCAGTGAGGGGCAGGCCCAGGCATGGCAGGCCCCATGCTGAGACCCCCTCCCCACCTCTGACAAACACCGCAGTGGATAATCTCTCCTTCAGGGACTCGGCTCAGCGCTGTGGGGCTGAGAAAGGAGGAGAGGAGGAAAGGGGTGGGGGGGACGCTGTGCGGCTTGGCTCTAAGGAACCGACTCTGGATGTGTGCCATCCACCGAAAGCACACATCCACACGCTAGCTTGGATTGTGTGCAGTTTATGTACGTCTCAATTTTCTCTTGTCTCACACTTTTTGTTCACTCCTTTGTCACACTGTCATCTCCTGACAGCTATCAGTAAAAACACTGAAGCCAAATAATACATTTCAGTTCAGCAGTCTGAGTGGAATTCAGAAATATATGTAACCCAAAGTTAAAGAACAATTTCAGAGGAAAAATAAAGAGTAGTTTAACAGTCCTATTGATTATTTGGTATGAAAAATACTTGATAGTTTGTATTGCTTAAAGATTCCCAATTTTAAAAAATTACCATCACTTAAAGATACGTTAAAATAATTTAGGATTAAAATTAAACCAGGCACTAAAGGAAGTAAAACTTGTTAGCAGAAAAAAATTAAACTCAAGCATTTTTCCTCCTAAACATCATTTTTTATTACAAATAGAATGAAACAAATTATGATCCTTGAAAGTCTTCTTGTGACGAGCGGCCATCCAGAGATGATCAAACATAAATGTCCATGTCCAACGTCACTGAACAGTGAATTAGTGCGAGCCACTATGACGTCTCCATCTTGTAACCATGTTTTTCCAGCTCCGCTCTGCAGGAAGGAGAAAGAAAATAGAAAAGATCAAGTCAGCAGAGATGATTACTGGTGGGTGGTTGGGGCATAAGTACCCTCTGGTATTGATTGTAAGAACCATTAAGAGATGGAAGAGAGAGAAAAAGAACTACATAAATATTAGATAATGCATGCAGCTATGGATTTGATGATTATACATACAGATGGCAGCTGTGCCCTTAAACAATAATGATATCTTTAAGAAACAACTTAATGGTAGGTCTATTGTAATTGAACTAAATAAAATAGCATATTACTATTACTAAGTTCCAAAGTGTACTCAAACATAAACAGAGCCGCCATTTATCTATCAACAGTTATTGATTACATATGCGTCTTCATCTTCAAAGCATTACAGGCCTGGAGATATCTTTCCAAACATACATTCTGTTAAGATCAAACTTAATTACATTTTTTATATTTCATATACTGATTTTTAGACATAATTAGAGCATTAAAAACTAGTCATGAATAATGAAATGGTACACTACCATTAATGGAAAAGTGGACAGAAGGACAGTTAGAAACCCCTCCCCTACATAATTAGACCCACCACATATCAAAGTTTAAGACTGCTGCACAAAACAGGAAGAATATGAGGTAAACAAAAACATTTGTGACCCTGATGTAAATTTTGTTTTTGACACAACTTTTGCTGAGAATATCAGATGAGGCTACATTATTGTTTGATGCAACATTGTTAATACAACTATCTCATATCTGCACCATTACATAAAACCCAGATAGACAACTTCAAAATGGTATAAATCGGTGAAACAAAAGCTGAAGCTATTATTGTATCTGCACAGCAAAACACAGGGGTCTCAGTGAATCATACAGGGACCAGAAGAAGAGGATGTAAAATGAAGGTTAAATAAATTTAACACTCATCAGGGGAGACAGGAGACATAAAAAGATAAACAAAACATTTATTTCAACTTGGTATGATGCTGTGCTTAGCAAAGTGAGAATTTTAGTATAATTTGTACTGCTACATTAGGATTTACCTCAGCTGATTTGAGAAATCGTCTTCTACGTTGTCGTCGTCCCAGTTGTCTTCCCAAACATGAGCATCTTCATCCTCGTCCAGCCCCGTCCAATCTGACATTTACAGCAGATCAGTTTGAGTTACAATTATATATTTGTATTTTAAACTCTCAGACAGAAAGTTAAACAGGAAAAAGCCCTTTTTCTATAGCTGTCAACAACAAAGTAGGTGTATAATGGTGAAGTTCTGATCTGACAAAATAATGTTCGACTGACCTTAAGATAAGTTGAATTTTAAATCACACAAATAGTCTGCTCATAATGCTTTCATTATGTAGCAGACTAATGACCATGTATTGTTTTCATCAATGTAATGAAATGTATTTATTTGTGAGCTCAAGCTTAATCAATCGGTGCTAAAAACATTGGCTACATCAAAAGTGCTAAAAGTAGTATAAGCAGAACTGCGTGCCATATTTAGACACATCCTTTCTGTCTGTTAAAGTTAATAATAAAATACATCATTTCCTTTATTATAAAGTAGAAAAAGATTCAAGAAGATCTTTACTGTATTTATTTCAGGTTGTAATGTTCTCTGTTAATGCCTATAAAAGGTTTATTGTGTAATATGCGTCATGTTTCCACATAAACACGTCTTCTGGCTAAAAGTAGAGCATGTATACGAACATTTACTGAAAATGTGTGTACAGTATGTAACACATAAGGCCAGTTCTTCCGTTCAAGTTCACAACCTTTACATATTTCAATGCACATTTGTTTCTCATTTTATAATATTGTTGTGACACACTGCTAGCTGCGAAGAGCTACAGCTAATGCAATAAAAATGAGAATTGGTACGGCAGAGAAACATTACATGTAAGTTTTCCGATACAGTCCACAGACAATATGTTAGAAGATTTGAACATTGTGGTTAAATAGACCAGTTTCAGTGAAATGTTGATGTTTTTTTCGGTTAGCTAGCCAATGCTAATGCGGCTAGCCTAGCTGAGTCACTGCGCGCGGGCCTCGCAGCGATAATTGTACGGCTACGAATATCCTGTTCAAAGATAAATGAGCACTTGACATATTCACAAAACACGCAAAACATTTACCCTCAGCTGGGAACTCTTCAAACTCGTCGTCCTCCTCCAACAAGCCCAAGTCTACGGTCTGCTTCTTGTCTGACATGTTAGCTCTGTTGCTGTGTGCTGTTCCGTGATGAACGGTTCTCTCACACCGGGGAATTATGGGAAAGTGAGGCTGTTCAGGCGGGTGGCTACTGCGCAGGACAACGCAAAAGTCGCCACTCTCAAGCTCGAGCAAAGCTGCAGTAGTTTACTCCAGTGATATGACTGTGGATAGAGACTCAGCTGAGGGCAATACAATCAAACTACCTGACGAATTGTTTGAAGTAGAACATTTCAGAAACATAAAAAAGATACAAGGAAATTTAGAATCAGACATGGAATTAATAATATCAGTATGATCATAATGAATGCATTTGGCACAGAGGAAGATGGCAACACAAATATCAAAAACAGAAGTGCTAGAAGATGTTTCTTAAAGCAGATTGATTTGCTCATTTATAAAATAAGATTAAAATCTACATAGATGGTTTTTATGCTGGTTATTTATATTTATTAAAAATACATTATAAAATAAAAACTTTTTAAGAATTAAGAGTTTAAAGTCCTCTTTAAGCATTTAATTAAAAATAGCACACCTTTACAGCACAAACTTAGACAAAAAAAAAACATGCGTAGGCTTATAGATCTAAACTTATATAGACTTTTGATAGAATTATTGAATTTTGATAACTTTAGCTCCTCAATTAAAAACCGAAGTGTGGCACTTAGAAGAAAGAGAAAAAAAGGTAGTAAAATAGTCCTTATCATGACAATATTACGAAATATGAGGTATTGTGTTGATGTGTATTACTCCTATTGTTGGTTTGCACATTTTGCACACATTTTTATTAATTTTGCATTAATACAAAATGGATAAATGTCTTTAACCATTTACATAATATCATATGTGATTATTAAAAAAAATGCTTTGTTCTGTAATAACATTGTTTAAGACATGCAATATTTCCTACGTTTAGACTTTTGTAGTTACAGCTAGAGGCAGTGCAAAGCAGCTGTTTTTGTTTCTTTATGTTTTAAGCATGACGAGAACTAATGCATAGTTAGTCAAGTAAATACATGTGGAGATGTTTGAGCAAACAAACACCTCTTCTGTAAATTTCTCTGTGCGTGTTTCTCTTTTCCCCCAACCAGCACACACACTTTTTTCCCGCACCACTAGAAAGCCCTCTTTCCTCTAAACAAACACACTCCAGCCATTGGAGTTTCTGTACATATTTTTCATCTGGGAACAAATGCACTTTGTAACCCATGCGGCTCACTCGAATAATGAAGCGGCAGCCACAGCTTAGGATGTATTTTGGATAAATGGGAGCGCACATTTACCACAAAACCACTCACGCCACAATGGAAATTGCTCTGCAGCTGTCACTTGTTGACAGACGGAACAAACCTCAAACTTAGGCACCGCATACTTATTCTATTTTCAAATTATTTTGTAATCATCCTAAGCCTTTGCACATGACAATGCCACAACACTCAGAGGAAAGAGGAAGAAGACTTGCAAAGAAGTCAAGGCTAAAGTGTTTAAACAATGCCATCCCCGTGGACGTAAAAATGCACAGCAGCATGTCGCAGAAATGAAACACAGCTGTAAGTTCAAAACATTTAATTTTAAGAATTTGTAAATTAAGAGAAAAAGAAAGAAGAAACTGACGTTACAGCTGCTCTCAAGGCGATGAACACATTTGATTTTAAGCAACGCCATTTAAAAAGTGCAAATATCACTCGGAGGTTTTCCACATTTTGTCCTGTAAACTTGTATTTACTAATTATATAATCAACAGAACACAAGAAAGTTTTGCAAAACTGTTAAAAGGGCAGGAACAGGCCATATGGTTCTCAAAACTTTCCGAATCAAACTATAAAAAGCTTGGTGTGCAGTTGACTCCGCCTCCCCGAGTCAGCACTTTGTAGAACCACCTTCCTAATCAATCACAGCTGATTTTTCAGATCTTACCACAGATTCTCTATTTAATTTTGGCCTGAATTTTGACAGGGTTATTCAAGCCCGTTGATTTTCCATGACACCTGTATTCAAAGAGTACCAGTTACATTGGAGATATTTAGGTATTTTACAAACGAAGCTTGTGTTCCCCATATCTATTTTTAAGACCAGAAGCTTGAAATGATGGGATCAAATTTACTGAATTTGCCAAAAAAAAAAAAAAAAAAAGTTTCATTCACATCTTCCAGTATGGAGCATTTAATTATGAATGCTGCTCTGTCTCGGTCTGAGCTCCCCTCCCTGAGGTATTGCTGAAGTCTGGTTCCCGTGTCACTCAGTTTCAGGTGCAAGTGAAGTCCTGGGAAGTAGCCCCAACGTCCGCCCGACATACCTGAGACTGCAGTTACACTGCGCCTGGCGCCTGTGGTCTCTCTGCTCAGGATAAAAAAAAAAGAGAAAAGGAAAGGGGGGTTCGTAGACTGGGAGATTCAACATGGCCATCGGAGACTGACTCCACCGTGACTTGTGTCTGTGTAGCAGCATCACATTTCTGCCCTTTCACAAAGCCCTCTGGGAAAGGACGGGTCGGCAGACACAGTAAGTGTACTGAGACAGAGCAAGACTCCGACTGAGGCACTGCCCTTCCAGTCTGACAGTCTGCACCTCGTTCTCCCAGCGCCCGCCTCGCTGTTGCCCTCAGGCCTTGTTCATAATGTGGCCTTCAGGCATTGCAGTGGGACAGGGATGGAGCCAGCAAAAGAGAAAGTTCTCCACCAAATAATCCAGATTACGTCCTAAAGATAACAGAGGAGCCTTCATTTTACGCTCATCAGAGAAAGTGACAGGGCATTGGGGGAAAGCTGTCTGTCTTCAGCGCTGTCTCGTCATGAACTTACTCTACCCTAGAATAAAAGGGAAGATTATTTGCACGAGCTTATTTACATACAAGGTGGTTTACAGGAAACCAAAGGAACAGCGGGAAGAAAAATTACATTAAAGAAAAGGAATAAATTAGGAGGAATAATGGTTGCATTTAAGCATCAAATTAAAATAAACATTTAAAAAAAAGTGAATTTAACTGCTTGTTAAAGTAAAATTAAAATGTGCCAATTAAGTCATTTTTGACTTTGAGGAGAAAGTTGTAATAAACTTTCCTGATTTAAAGAATCCTGTTGTTATGGATTCTGTCTATTCTTCTATCTCTTTTATTCTCTTCTCTCTGCTTATGTACACACACTGTAGCTTACGGGACCATGTTTATGCGTGACTGCCGCCAGTCATATGTAAGCAGACTGGAACTGATTAGACCACCCTTGGAGGTTACAGAATGCAGAAAAGAACAAGAATCCATAACACCGTTTTTCCTCTCAAGCTGGTTTTAGTGGTCCAGATTTTAACCCGGTAAATGACTCTCAAAAGTTCTTACGTCCAAAACAGGGTGACAGGTTTTTTAAAATCCGTCATATCGTCAATAGGGAGTCACGGCAGGTATCTTAATTTCTGTGTGAGATGATCATTTATTTCTAGTGTTGATTGACACCCTGGCAGACTTAGATTCAGACGTATTTATAAATATGCCAGATGTTGACATGCATCAGACACTAAATATGACAAGAACTAATAAGGATCAACATAAAACACATCAATACACAATAGGTTTCTTGCATGCTCAGATCCTCATCTTGAGTCTTATGTTATTGCAAACTTTTCCTAGTTGCCTGTATCTTTTCTGTATAAAGGTGGATGAAATTTGAAGTTTGTTGATTTAATTGACGTTCAGAGAGACTATCAGCATCTGCATGATAAGTGTTGCTTTGATACACCATAATCTAAGAGTGGGGGAGGGGCCACACTTAGACATTGAATGAAAGTGGCACGAGAATACTGCCTGGAGAAACTCCACCTGAGATATTTCTATGCTCACATTTATTGTTGCCTAATAACACAAAGTAGCCAAACACCTGAATCCACTCTGCAAAAATACCAAACAATTTCACACACTTTTTCTTTTGAGCCATCAGTATTTTATGGCCAGTTTAGCCAACCAACCTTGTTGCAATTGTGTTTCATGTTGCCATTTCTCCTTCGCTCTGAAATAGGTGATTCCTCACAACCAAATGTTACATATAGACTGTAAAGTCATTTTAAAATTAACAAAAGATTGAAATTCTGTAAAGAAATAAATATGTAATTCTCATAGAGTAACCAGGCAAGTAATGAGGGAAATATTAAAATTATTTTTTTTAAAAATAACAAAAAAAAAACATGTATACTTGGATCCTATAGGAAATCTACAGGGAGAGCAACTTGCTTCCAGGATATGTCTGTCAAGATCCCGTATTAAATTTAATCCCAGCCAGTCAGTGAGTCTTCTGTCTCTCTTTTCATATAAATACGTACGGGAGAGGAAAACAATGGATATTAGCTAATTCATGAAGAAATTTGATAGGAAAGTTGATGAAACTCCCAAAAGAATCAAATTTAAAAAATCAAAATGGAAAAGAATGAGCCTTTTTTTAGGCTCGTTTTATCTTCACAAATCCACCTTTCTGGATGTCCCTTTCACAAGCCATCTGTCATGATGAATTTAAGTTTCATATTTTTGCCCCCCTGTCTGTCTTGAAAAGCTCTGTCATCTTGGGCTTGAGGTACAGTTTGCCAAGAGGCTAATGGCCCTTTATGACAGCACAATCTGATGCCTGTCCCGGCGAGCCTCCGGGTAATCCGGTCCTCCTCGGCGACTAAGCCCTGCTCAGGCTTAAGTTGCATATTTTGTTTTTATCAGGATGCTGCTGATAAATGCTATCAGCGGGGGAGAAATGAAATATGGGGGGTCTAGCTTCATTGTGCCTAAGCCCCCCGGTTGGAAATCAAAACCCGAGGAACAATGACAACTCTATGGCTGGATCTTGAACGTCTGTAGGAACAAGCGTGACTTTACTCAATTTCTGTGCGTATGCTGCAAAAAACAAATATTTCTCCCTGAGGAGCTTTTGCAAACTATTTTAGCTCGTCAAATATCTTTGCATAAATGCATGATAATCCAAGCACTCAAAACACATCCAATTACAATTACAGCAGCTTACTTTTGGACCCCCAAAATATCATTTAATAAAATCGTAGAATTACATGCTAATTTATTTCCAGTAATGCACGT